GTGAGTGAGTGAGTGCGCGAGTTGGGTCAAAACTTGGAGCCCGATCAGTCCACCATTTGCCGCGAACGACCGGTCCACAAGGTAGGTCGTGCCCGGTCCGGTATCCTAGTGCCATGACGAAAAGGCGTAGAAAGAGGATAATTCCTCCGGGTTTAAAACTTTAGGTACTATAGGTCTTCCACAGGTATCTGTCTGCATCAAAGCTGCTGGTTTAATTCGTTCCTGGCTAGCCTGGCAGAACCTGGTTTGGAAGGAATTACACAGGGAGTTAATTCTTCCTTAAGGCAACACAGGAAACAAACAAAGGCTAGCCTGGCAGAACCTGGTTTGGGATGAATTAAGCAGGTAGATAATTCTTCCTTGAGGCAACAAAAGAAAGAAACAAAGGCTAGCTCTCCTTACGGCAACAAAGGAAAAACAAAGGTTAGCCATCCTTAAGGCAACAAAGGAAACAATCAAAGGCTGGCCTGGCAGAACCTGGTTTGGAAGGAATTAGACAGGGAAAGACGCAAAGGCTAGCCCTCCTCAAGGCAACAAAGGAAAGAAGCAATGGCTAGCCCTCCGAAAGAAACAAGGGCTAGCCTTCCTTAAGGCAACAAAGGAAACAAACAAAGCCTAGGGCAACAAAGGAAACAAACAAAGGCTAGCCTGGCAGAACCTGGTTTGGAAGGAATTAAACAGGGAGTTAATTCTTCCTGAAGGCAACAAAGGAAAGAAACAAAGGCTGGCCCTCCTTAAGGCAACAAAGGAAAAACAAAGGTTTGCCATCCTTAAGGCAACAAAGGCAACAAACAAAGGCTAGCCTGGCAGAACTTGGTTTGGAAGGAATTAAGCAGGGAGTTAAGTCTTCCTTAAGGCAACAAAGGACAGTCACAAAGGCTAGGCCTGCCCTCCTTAAGGCAACAAAAGAAAGAAACAAAGACTAGCAAATGAAGGAAACAAAGGCTAGCCCTCCTTAAGGCAACAAAGGAAAGAAACAAGTCGACCCATACGAGTGATCACAGATTCCGTTTGAGCCCCCAGATGCAGTCCATCCAGATTGTTGGGGAGACGAGATTACAATTTCTTGTGCCATGGACCGGCATTTCGACGCAGTGCTTCCAGCGTGACCTACAAAAAAAGACCCATGCAGTCCCGCGGCCTCGCTTTGGGAAGGACGACGCACACACACCCGCACTAGCGCAATTAACTCCTGGTTTAATTCTTTTCTAGCACGTCTTCAAGCCAGATTTCTGAAAAGACACCTTCCAAAAAGAATTAAAGCAGAAGTTAATTCCACACATCCCACTCCATATCATAACCATATCATACAGTTCACTCCCAATTTAACTTTTCTACGAAGGGATACCAGAAAATCAGTTACAAAAGAAAGTAATTCTTGATTTAATTCTTTTGAACTCCTGTTTTCACACCCTTCCTGTGCCATGACCCACAACCAGTTACAACCAGTTGAGAACTTTAAAACCTTCCTCAAAGACACAACAGCAACCCTGACTTTTTACAGGCTTGTTTGTGACCAAACATCCTGGGATCTCATTCGGACGGCCACGAACTGAAGATTCTGGGTGCAACGCAGAGAATTGCAGGGAAATGGATTTCCACATGGACTACTTTGAAAAAGTGCATTGTTTTCCCAGAAATTTCTTTATTCAACACTCAGGATGTGATAATGCGTGAAAAATTGTAGAAGATTGAAGGCTAAAGAAGCACTGCGAACACACCTCGCAGTGGGCAGGATTCTTCGCAACACTGCACTGGGACCATTCGAGCGAGGGTGATTTGAATGCGGATTTGAGTTGCCAGGTTCGTGGGATTCCCAGGAATCAGTGGGGTTTCTTAAAGAACTCATTTTTGACCAATCGGACTTCCGTCGGACGAAGAGTCGGCTTTGGTCGATGACTTGCGTGTGGTTTTGTCCCGGCTTCGACAGCTCAGCCAAGTGTTTAAGGTTGAAGAGCGCGCTGGGCCGGTTGGCCCACAAGAGCCGCATCAACAAAAGGAGAGGTGGATGGAGTGAAGGGGTGCATGGAGTCCCTTTAGAATCCATGGGACTGGAAGATTTGGCCGATCAAGCCAGGGGTGATCTTAAGATGTCTTTACAGTATATGTAACGATAGATGTAATTCATTGTAACTCTGTTCCATACATCAATGGCCTTGGACTCATCAACATGGAAGTGGACCATTGCCTTTACAAAGGTTCTCCAGTTCCTCCCGGTCCGCCGGACCCGGAAGTACCTCGAGACAGACCCGAGGAAAACCGGGTCCAGCCACTGTCCGGGTCCGGCGTTTGAATCTGTATGGGCCCTCCATGGCAGGGGTCGGACCTTCTCCGTCTTCGGAGGAAAAAGGACCCGAACCAAATCCCTTCCCATTTGGGGAGGTCCGGATTCGTGGGGTTAAACAGATAGACTCAGCCGTGGCGCCCGATGTTCCTGCATCCAGGTGTCCAAAGTGGTGTCGAAGCTTCAAAAGCTATCAAAAACCCGAGAGACCTCACTTGATTGGCTGATCATACAAAAAATCATGAAAAAAGAACCTACCCAATGAGGCCAGAGACCAGGACTTACTGGGTCAAACTGGACCTGTACAGATTTCAAGAATTGAAGATGTCTTTAGGGTAAGTGTAGGTAAGTATTCCATACATGGATTGTTAGGGTATGCAGAAGCCACACAAGGCTTTCGTGTCTTCTTCGTCTGAGGAGGTTGTCACCTCGTGTGCACTTATTCGGCCACGTTCATGAAGGTCGTGGGAAATTGGAGAAGTCCCTTGAAGATGGGAGATGGGTGGGGTGTGGATGTGTGGATATGTGTGGAAGATCCAGTCCAACTGGAAGCTGGAAGATCCAGTCAAACACCCAGTCCCGACAGAAACAGTTCGTTCCAATATGGCTCCAGCTTGAGATCCTTTCAGATGCTGAGATTTTGTTCCTAGCAGTAAGGCCAGGAGCCCCTAGCAGCGTCCTTGCTCCTAGTAGCGCAGGAGCCCCTAGTAGCTTCTTGCTCCTAGTCGTGCCTTTCATCTTTGTCTAAACCTTGACAATCCATACCATACCCCAGACACTCCATGGATTGCTTACAATTATTTACCTATATATATTGGGGTGGTTTTCATAGTCAATGACGGTATATAATTTGTATTCCATACATGGACTGTTTGGGTATGTCTGGGTACATATACCTCATTTGACAAGCCCAACGTAGGCAACTAGTCCGATCACATGGATCGTCTAATAAACTTCGATTGTAAGACCTCCGTCACATGTGATTCTTTTTTACTCATCAGTCTACCTGGAGTCAGACCCGTTCGTACCGCGGAAAATGGGACATGGAGACCTGGACCTTCCACAATGACGCTCCTTGAGATCTCAGTGCCTGAGACCCACTGTCCCTGAAGAGGTCACTGAAACACTCCCAAAAGAGGTTACGTATGGTCCTGAGCGACTACCTGAGCTTCGCCCAAAGTCCGAGCTGCGAGTCCCGGTCCGGTACCCTCCACCGAACCGCCCGGTCGGACCGACCCGGGACCCAGGACCTTCGCTTAGACCGTAGACCGGACCTGACGCACTGCAGCCGAGCCGAGCGACGCGTCGGATGGGTCATACCGACATACCGACGTATGGGACCGTCTGTGAAGCACATGAACCGCTCGTAGCTGGTGTCTAAACGCCCGCAGAATTATACAAAAAAAAACAGAAAGGTAGAGAAACATCCATGGACTTAAATATACGGCTGTGACTCCAAAAGATTGTTTTCACACCGCATATTCTTAAAAACAAATACATGTAACACATTGAGGAAGCTCCAGGAAAGTGACCCGTTCATGTAAGTAACTATTTCAGTTCCAGGGATAGGACCAAAGTCAGGAGCCGGAGCCGGGTTTTGGGGCGCCTTGACGAATTCGACGGCGGGTCCAGGTACTAGACCTAAACGTTCCACGCATTCAAGTATGATTATACATTGTATGTGATTTGATGTTTTTTGGGGGATTGAATGTACCTGAAGTTCCAAAGGACCTCGAAAAAATGGTATAAGTACTTATTGTTGTAGTGTCATGTGCCATTTTCTAAGGTACTTGAAGTCGGGTCTAGGTAGGCCAACGTACGGAAACCGCCATGGGGCCTTTTGGGACATGTTTCAGTTTGGGTCATGAAAAACATGTCCCCCCAAGACCTTCCGTGACAAGGGAAGAGGGCGGTTACGTGGTTTGCAGAGCAGGGAGGAGGGCCCAAGGCTTTTTTGGTACCCAAGTGGGGTTGAGTTGTTGTGCGCCAAGTTAATTATTGATTATCGTAAACAATCGTAATGGTATACATGCATCTATGACTGTTGATTAATTGAGTGGACATCCACAAGTGAACAACCAATTGGTTGATATGGTACCTGGCATCGAGCCCTCAAGAACGGATATCATCGAGCCGACGGTGCCATCATGTGAAACACCACGGTGCCATCGGCTCTTCCACCAATGTCTGAGGTACGGTTTCGCAGGGAGAGATGGGTGACCGGGTGACCTTGGAGGGTCCAGTCGTACCTTTGTTTCGAAGGTGGCAGTTTCTTTTTTGTTGGGATGCAGGTAAAGAGAGGAAGCGTCCGTCTTTCGGGTCAACCTCCTACCCAGAAAAAGGGATTCCCAAGACTCTGCAGTGTTGAATCCACTCCCTTGAAAACCTCATAGAGGCGCAAAACCTGCAGAGAAAATCACCATGTCTTAGACTTATTGTCTTGGAACTCCACATCCAAAGCAATAGCACATACAGCATGTGAAACAACACCAGAAACGTACGTAAAACAGAATGCCCCAAGGATCCAAGTACCTTCTCAGAATGTGATTGGAGACGCTGTCATGTCCTTCTGAGAAGGTACGACTGGATCCCTAAATATATGTTGGTAAAACCACATACTATGTCACTTCTAGATGAGACTTCCGACACCTTCAGGAATGGCACCTTGTTCCTCAACGTGTCAAATGCGAGTCTTGGCCGAATGCAATTGCCAGCAAGCAGGACGCATACATGACTGTACGTAGGATCTTGATCATAACATTCCTACTAGCACCTTTGAAATGGGGTCTCCAATAGAATACCCTACAATACTTCTGAGGATTCTGGATCTCCATTGGATACCGCTTTGAAGATTGGGGTATGTAGAGCCTTACTGGTGAATTCCCTCCAATCAGCGCTATCAGGGTGGTTGGCAGTGTTTGCAGCCGGTATAGATGCGTGACATATTTTTTTAGATTTTTTTTTCTATATATAGTGGTGTTTTTGTACCAGCACCTTCAAAGGGGTCACCTGGCTGGAAGCCCCAGCCCACCACTAAGGGACCTCCAGACAGGACACCCCTTGAAGGTGCTTTGGTACGTTGTCCATGTGTTTGATGTTCTGTGTGCCTTTTCTCTCGATCTGAATCCTTGTTTGCGGCGAAGGCAAGCAGCTACGGTGATACGGACAGGACGCTACACCCATACCTGGACCCGACTTCGTTCGTACCCTAGAAAACGGTTACCCTAAAAAATACAGGTCGCGACTGTACCCATTTCCCAAGGTACGAACTGAGACTCCAGGTGGACACTTAGCTTGTACCCGAGAAAATGAGACATGGCCTGAACCCAAAAACAGGAAGACAGAAGTGCTGAGTCAAAGACCACTGTGAAGTGCAGGTTGAGGCCTAAGTCCCTACCTAGACTTAGACCATGACCCAATAAAGACAGGTACCTGGGGCCATTTTCCAAGGTACCAATGGAGGGTCCAGGTATGACCAAATACTTCCCCCCCCCCCCAAAAAAAGGGGTCGTTCATTGCAGCCCGACAGCAAACCGGATGAAACCGAGGGTCCAGGTATGACCAATGGAGGAACTCTAAACCCTGAACGTGTCTGTCTCCTTTTCATAAGGATCTTGCATCAATATGAACAGGGTGCCTTCCGACCTGGTTTTCTTAAAAGCCCTGAGCAGCTCTGGTTTCACGGATCATTTGGGTACAAGAATTGGATCAAACAAGCGCCATTGAATCTTCCAAAGACGGAGCTTCCTTCCGTCTACTATAGGTATCCTTTAGCACCAGGACTTCCTAAACTGTGTCACCGTGAATCACGGTGACATTGACACTTGCTTCAAACACTGACGGACTTCCTGTGTTCACCGTTGCAACCTGAGGAACCCTGGCATGGCACGCACCCTCCAGCCACTCGGACCTCGTCATACCTCGTCTACTCGCCGCGCCGGTCTGCGCACGCCGGTGCGTCGCGGTTTCAGGCTGGTTTGGGCGTGAAATCTTTTACCTCGTATTCCAACCATCATTGGTTTATATAACAGTTTTTTTCCAAACAACCACTGTTTTTTGGCTCTATGGCCTGTACACGACAAAACAACAACAACCCCTTTGTTTAAAAAGTCGAAGGGAAGGCTCGGCTAGGGTTGTCAGTTCTCCAGTTCAATTCTCGCTCCGATGGGTGCTTTTGCAGCTGAGGCATCCCTGTGTCGTGCTGGATATAGCAACTGATGGATCTGGAGACGTGCGCGTGGTGAGCATGTGAAAAGACTCGATGGACGCAAGGGTGTTAACTGGTTCTTCCGGGAACGGGGATGTGTTTGTCTTGGAAATCCGGTGGTTGGGTCCGACTTGTGCATAAGAACCTGGAGTCGACCCGGAAACAAACCTCTTGAAATGGGCACAACTTAATAGACATGTGTTCTTTTGTGTGCACGTGTGTAGAGTCATGTCCCATTTTCTACGGTACGAACTGGAGAGTTTAGGTATAGGTTTAGGTAAATGTGTGTGTGTTCATTGTTTAGTTTGGGTGATCTGTCTTGCGACTTTTTTTGGTGGGTTGTCTTCACATGAGGGAACACCCTGGCCCCCCCCAGCCCATATGGGGGTTTCCTTTCTTTGGTCCGCCTGCCGTGTCCTTGTCGATTGATTCCGTTCTCTTGCGACAGTGAAACACAAAACTAAACAGAACAGGTGGCTTCCTGAGGGTCCACGATATTCTTTTATCTTGAGGTTGAGCATTGAGAGGTTTGGAGGCCTTAACAAGGACTCCAGAAGTGCCGAGGACGCACATCCCTTCAGACTCCTTGTTTGGTTTGTGCTTCAGCTCTGTCACCCCTACTCACCCTGGAAGCCCAAAACATTCCAAGACTAGTTCAGAAACATGTTGTTTTGGTGACCCGAAAAAGGAGTTTCCGAACTTCACCAGTCGAAGATCCGAACTTCAAACACTCCGTGTTTGCGAGGAGGTGGGACGATGGTTTTGGCTGATGGTTTTGGATATTAGAGTAATTTACCTCATGTTTCTTCTTTTGCACCATAGTTGCATTTTATGACCCCCATGTAAGTTAGTACATAGTCAGGATTGAGTCTGCTTCCATGTTGACTCCGAAACCTGACCTGGGAGTGGCCAGACAACGACCACTATCAGGCCGTGGTGAAAATGATTCATGATTGGACTCTCAGAGAAGAACAGATGTTTTTTCCTGGTTCTGTTCCCGAACTTGATTTCCTGGGACCTCACGGACCTCACGGCTTTTGGAAGCCATGGAAGTTCGGGTTCCCGTGTCACGAACCCTCCAAAGTTCGGTCACGAACTGAAGAAGCCATGGGCATGGGCTTTTGAAACCGCTGGTTTCCGCCGGTTTCGGTGTCTCCCTTGAAAACGTGGAACACGTCTCGTAGGTGGTGGGCGTCTTACGTGGACTCCCGAGGGTGGAGAAGGGCGAGGATTCGAGGCGACGCTGGGAGACAGGGAGCAAGGTGTTGAGGGATGAAAGATGAAAGTGAATCAACCCAAACGCGAAGTCTGGACCCGTTTATAGTACCTGGAGTCTCAGTTCGTCTCTCGGAAAATGGGTAAATTCGTCATTTGTTGTTCGTACCTTGGAAGTTCGGGGCAGGTGTATATGAGAGACCAAGGTCTGTTTGCGTGGAAAACCAGCTGTACTTGCTGTACTTGTTGGGTCATGCTCCATGCTCCAGGCGATACTTCTCTCAGTCGAGTGAGAAACCGAAGATCGACCAAGCTCACTCACCCACTTTCACGCCGTTCTCCTCAGGTCTTCCTACTCAGGTTGTGCTTCTGGGAACACCATGGGACCCCGAACCACATAGCATCTGAGAGGGTGATGTGTTCGACACCTACCATCTGAGGTGCTGGGAGTAGAAGGTATGTGATATGCAGCAGGGATTGCTTCAGTTTGAATCCCAGCTGCCGTAAACGAAGGGACTAGAGAACCAGGTCAGTCTTTCCCAAACATATTTTATACATGGATGAACGGAAGGATACGGTGATGTGTATTGTTGTTTGTTTAAAGCCAGGTGACATGTGTTTGTTCAATGTTTCATTATCACTTCACCAGCAACAGTGGAGTGGCCGCATTTGGAAGTTTGGTTGTTGTTGTTGTTGTTGGTGGTGGTGGTGGTGGTGGTGGTGGTGGTGGTGCGTGTTTCTGGAGTTACTGTACTACTATAGTAGGATTGTAAGGACCCTTTTTGGGGTCATAGTCCGTCGGTTGACTTTGGTTGGCCACGTCCTTGTGTCGTTGAACGCGTCTTCCGTTGTCCGTTTTGTTCCGCGAGTCAGACGTGGCTAAAGAGCCAGGCTGGATGAGGCCTTGCAAGCGTTCTTGGCCGACTTGACCGAAGAGGTCGACGTGGGGCACTCGGATGGAGCGACCTGGAGAAGAAGTGTAGACCTGGAGTCGACCGGAAACTCGTACCTCGAAAAATGGATAGAGAAGCTGTGTACCAGGACCCTCCAAGCGGTGTCTATTTATAGCTCCTTAGCTGTTGTGATTCGGGGTGTCCAGAAAAACCACCCCGACTGGATCCTGGTACATTTGTGATAGGGTCATGATGTCCCATTCTTTGAATTGGAGGGTCTAGGTCTTAGCCCCGAGCTTCAGGTGTTTGGCGTTTTTCAAACCCTTACAGTCCAGGTCCCAGGTACACCCAGATATCCGTACTTCCATGATGAGCTACGGGAGCTGTCCAGGACATTCGAGAAACGGGTCCTGGAACCCTCAGGGATCCTTAGGGCTGCATGTGTTATCGTAGTTTGGGCGAACAAGTAAGCTAGTGTTATAGTTGTTTCTTTCGAAACTATTTTTGTTTTACATCGCCCCTCCCTTTATGATGTGCATATGTTGTTTTTGCGACGCTTTGCGCTGTTGTTGCGTTGTTTAGTGCCGTTTCGCGAGAGGGGTGTGCTGCTTGAAGATTTCTTTTCAACTCGCCTTGTCCAAAAACTATGTTTGTTTAGAATCATCAGCAATATGACAAACTTTTGAGGACGCAGGTATACCCTCTTAAAGAAAGATGGTTGCGAAACGAACGAACAGTTTGGTCTTGAAAACTTGAAGAGAGGGGATCCCTCCAGATATTAATAAAGCTGACCACTTAAGCCATGCAAAGACATTTGCCAGACACTCCATGCATGGCATATTTAAATACATTGACCCCTCTTCAACCACCCAACCACCCCAGTTGATCGGTACATAGGCCAGTCAGTCCCATGGAGTGTCTGGGTATTATGATGATCATCAGCCATGTCAGTTTCTTGCGCAGCCATGGCCCGTTCCGCCTACCAACCCCGTCCCAGGCCGAGGCGCCGGCGCTCCTAAAGTCCGAGCTCGTGCAGGCGCCGAGCGCCTCGATTCCTCCGAGCCGGACGGAGGTTTTGGAACCGAAAAGAACCACGGACATCGTAACCCCAACGACGCAAGGATTGGACCCATCGGAGGGATAAGATAAGATGTTCATTTTCTAGAAGGGTCGAGGGATGCCTGGCCCACCATTGTTTTGATGGTCTGAATACCAAAGGAGCAATTACTTGATTCTAGACTACAAAACGCTCCATTTCCCAGGGTTTCAGGCCCCTTCAAAACCAACCCATGTATTGGTTTGGGTCCAGATTCTTAGGCTACGGCGCTCGGATTCGCGGCCCCACCATGATGGATTTCATGCTTTTGACATGGGTTTGCTTAACCGCTTAACCAAACTCAAGCCTTGTTTTCCTAATATAGCGCTATAAGAATGTTTTACGCGGTCAGTTCAACCAAGTTAACCATCCTCTTGGTTTCAAGTGGCCGGGTGAGTTTTTGCGCTTCGGAGGCGATGTCCTCCGCCGGGTGTCTTGCCTTTCTGCCAGGTTTGATGCTTTATCCAAGCCATTCGAGGATACTTCGAGGATCTTCAGTCTTTGAGAAGTCGACTTCAAGTCATATTATGATCATCGGGCGTTTTTGGCTTACGACCCTTTCAGTTTGTCCTCCAGGGCTGCAGCCGATGGCCACGAAGGATCGAGGATCCAGGATGATCCAGGTTTACCCATATCGTCGATGGTTGTGTTCAGTGAAGGCACTGATTACAGACTGGAGACTTGTGTTTTGTAATTGGCCACCCCAAGCAGCGTTAGCGTTGTGACACCAGCTGCGCCACGAACTCGTGGTCACCTGGCTGGACAAGCCACTACTTGGAAGCGGTCTGCAGCCAAGACACCAATGAAGCGCTATAGCTCAGGTATTGAATCTTTTCATCCGCGGGATCGTGCTGGAATGACTATATCGTCTATCGTATACAGGTCAGACTTGATCATACCAAAATTACACGATCAATGAGGTCTGAGGTCGACGCAGGATCTGTTCGGAGACCATTCGCTTGAAAACATGTGATTCACTAATTACCCACTCTGTCCCTCATGGTGCAAGACCCCCAGACCCCGAAGACCCAAGAGAAAACCGGGTCCGAACGTCTCCAATCTCAGCGTCGACGGGTAGATTCACAGGGTCGTTCGGCCAGAATTGACCGGGACACCCTCACCTGGGCCCACCCTGGACATGGTGTTGAGCTACAAGAAAACACACCCAACAGATCCAAGAGTTTTCTTTGTGCGCGGAAATGGGGCGTTTGTTTCAAGCCGATGTGGATGTTTCCCTGTCGGTGCTACTGGATGCCGACACATCCCGGCTCCACGGTAATCCAAAGAAAGGGGTGTCTTCCTTCTGGCGCCGTGTACGAATTGCCTCATGAAATTCGCGTGTTAAAGTGTATTGCGTGTTTCCTAAATTTAGGGATACCTGTGACTTCACTCCACTTGTCCATTGCTTGCCGCAGTTCAGATTGGACGACTGGTCGAATGAAGAGTTAACCCGCTGGACTGATGATTGCAAACTGGAGACTCGTGCTTTTGCATTTGGCCTGCCCAAGCGGCATGATGATACCAGCTGCGCCACCGTTCGGGGTCACCTGGCTGGCCAACCCTTCACTACATGTTAGGTTTGCTGCTACCCATGGCAAGCGCAAGCCGCAAGGTGTTGAAATGTGTTGAATGCTGAATCCAATCAGCGGATTTTGTGGAGATGACTCATTAACTAAACCGATTATTTTTACCCTACAATCAGATCAAGTCAGAACATCTTTTTAGTGGAGTTGATCGTACAAAGATACTCTTCAATGATGTCTTCAGGACCAGGCTTGGATCAGGCTCGGCCTGTATGGACCATTCGCTGGACCAGAGGATTTGGGCCCGATCCCGCAGGCACATCGCTCGCAATCGGAAGCGATGAGGAGTTGACCAGGACACCCTCGCCTGCCGGACCCCCTGTGGACACCATGTTTAGCTGGTAAAACACCCAAACCAAACAGCGTTCTCGGCGGATGGTGTGCATGT